GAATCTATTATGTGGTCTCCTCCAATTGACATGGGTCATATCGTGCAGTTGGGTGACTCCCTGTAGGGTTAGTGCCTCTGGGGCTGTCACCAGTTTATCTGCCTATTCATTGCCCTTAGTCAAGAACCCTGGAAGGCTGCAGTGACTCCTGCAGGTTTTGAAGGTAAATTGGTGTCTCTTGAACCTCTAAAAGGACCTTAAGAGCCACCATGAGGGGGGATATAGGGTTATTCTCTAACTGGATGTGTGCTTGTGGGATATGGGAAAAATAAGCTAACCACATAGAGACTGTCTGAAAAAGATTGCAGGGCTCAGAGATGTCTTGTAATGCCAGCATCAGAGCCAGCATTTCCTTATATTGGGCAGAACCCTGGCAGGGTTGAAATCTTTGGTGGCTTGGTGTTGCTTGGTATTCTCTAAAGGCAACGTAGGCAGAGCCTGCTGGCCCCCACCCCCAGTCAGCAAAGACGCAAATGGCTTCGGAGATGTACTCAGATGGAAACAAGGAGAGCATCTTAAGGGGGATTCTCTGTTAGAGGAGCCCATTTGGACGACCCATAGTGGCAAGCAACACTCTCCATAAATCCTTCTAAGGTGAAAACAAGGCGGGCGTTTAGCCTGAGCAAGCCATTCAACATCCACCACCTGGAAGTGGAAGGCATGGGGGTCCAGCCCACAGTGTCGCTGGGCCTGGGTCCTGTCCTTTATGATGGCATCAGCAAGCTGATCTGCCTGAGAGTAGATCCATACCCAAAGACGTATGCATACATCCCAACGGCTCCCGCTCCTGGGTTAGAACCACTGTAATCAGGGAGGCTCCAGCAAACAGCCAGAGGGACAAGAGTCTAGACACTGAATACCTCCTTAGATAACATTTGTCCAAGGCCTTCTGAAAGGCGAGGAGCATCTCGCAGTGTTCCTTTGTCATGGTTACACTATCATGAGGCGCCTTGTCCTTTAGCAGAGCATACAGGTGCACCAGATCTTCTGTGGGAATTGACACTCAGGGTCTCTGCCAATTAATCTTCGCTAGTAAGCACTGGAGCTGAGTCAGGGTCACAGATTCAGGCACCTCCAGAACAGGGTTAAGCAGGCTAGACTGTGTCAGTGTGAGGCACAACCCAAGTACTTTGAAGGAGGGCACCTTTTGGACCTTTTCTGGGGCCACAGTAAAGCCTCCTGTTGAGGTGAAGCCTTCCCGCTGGACTGGTTCCAGAGCCGCATCAGTCCCAAATGAACACACAGGAGGCTTTATTAATTACGAAGCTATTGGCCGTTTGCTTGGTTTCTTACTGGCTATCTTTGACTTAAGTATTTACCCCATAATTGTTAGTCTAAGTATTTCTCTTACCGGAGAAAGGGTCCGGACCTTTTACTCCTCTGGAGGCTACATCGTGACTCCCTGTGTTTCTCCTTCCCAGAATCCTCCTTGACTCCTAGTCCCACCTATCTTGCTTCCCTATTGGCCAACAGTGCTTTATTGACATATACACAAGACTTCCCCATCATCTCCTCTTTTCTGTCTAAATAAAAAAAAGTTTTAACTTTAACATAGTCAAATTATATATAACAGAACAGTTATCAAGTGAGAACATAGTTACAATACTTTGTCCATTAACATTTAGTAAGATTTAAAGAAAATATCATCTATCCCATCCTTGTGAGTCCAAAGTCCTATATGTAGCTTATTTTTTATCATAACTAAGGAAAACTATAATTATAACTATCTGCCTTCAACTCCATCAAAGACCACAGAAGGACAATATATAAACCCTAGGATTGACAGAGACATCTTGCTACCTGGACACCCAAAGTTCTGCTGTAACGTTGGGGCATCCATCTTTAGCCCATAGGCCACAGTGTGTCTGGAACACTTCTCAGCAAAGCAGGAAATTTCAAACTGTCCATCTGCATTGGCAGTCTGTCACTCATTTTTCTGTGTCCTGCAGAAAGTCTTGTAGACTCTTCCATGAATCAGGAACCCTGAATGATTGTTTGAGTTCAGCAGTCACTTTCCTGTGGGTCCTGTTGTCCAGGTTATACAGCAACAGTCAAGCAGTCTAGGCAAGAGCAGTTTCTTGCCCAAATGGCTAATCTTGCCATGTTGAAAGCAAACCCCATAACAAGTCTCTTCGATGCCCATCTTCCTCTCAGATGTAATTGGTGTGCCAGGAGCAGACATTTCTCATTTTCAAGAAAAACCCTAAACCATTTTAAATGCCATTTTCTGAAGGTCTTTGAAAGATTTGAAGACTATCTATCTCAAATATATCTCTATACATCTAGAAAACCTAACTATAAGTTCTGACTATTATAAGTAACAATCTATAGTCTGTATTTAATTATGCATTATGTTTTAAAAGATCAATATAAACACAATACTTAATCAAGAGGAGAAATATACATATCACAAAATTGACCTTGAATTTGTATCAATAAATGAAAACCCATACCAATACAAAGTATTCATTTCCATATCATATTCCCCTATTATCTTTAAAAAGAGATTGGTTGTGATCATTAACCAATTCTAAGCAACCCCATTTAAATATAAACTAAGATTTATAAACAATATGGGAATTTGGACGTTGATCATTCCAAACTGCTTCCTGCTGGATGGGCATGCTGCTTATACCATGGGGATCATGACAAAACTCAGAAACCTTGGCCAAGTCCTTTTTTTGTAGTCTGTAAGGCTGCATCATCTTAGCTGTCTTAATTGTTGGAACACCTGGCCCACTGCTTCTGGGGGTCTTGGTTCATCAAACCACAGAAGCCTGGAAGGAATCCACAGCTTTCCATTTTCTGTGGAAACATAAACAAAAACTTCTTTCCCAAGTAACCGGTCCTTATATTTAAAGTCAGAGGTCAAAGCATTTTTGAAATATGTAAGTTGGATTAATTCAGCAGCATTTATAATCAAGTATATTTTAGTAGTTGTTCCTTCCTTTGCTACTGAATAACTGAAAAACAATAGTATACAGTATCCAGACTCTCTGTGTATTTTTCATCTTTACGTGGCTTATATTACTCTATTTCTTTTACTTTTATTTATTTATTTATTTATTTATTTCTCTGAGACAGGGCTTCTCTGGAAATCTACCTGCCTCTGCCTCTGGAGCAAGTCCTACGGCGTGTGCCACCACAGCCCCCTTTTTAAGCAATTGGAGCACCTGGGCCACAAAGTCCTCCAGATATGCTGGATCCTGATGTCCCAAAATTAAGTCATCCATATAAGCATATATTACTGAATCCTTTGACTTTAGCATAGGCCTTAAGCGAGTAGCAGGTTACTGTTGACAGAAAGCCGGTCTGTTAGCTATCCCCTGTGGTAGCACTACTCATTTAAAACGTTGATCAGGTTTGGAATAATTGAGTGAAGGAACAGAGAAGGCAAATACATCACAATCCTCTGGGTGTATCAGTATAGAGAAGAAGCAACCCTTAATATCAGTCACCATAAATGTGTGTTCTGTGAGAGTAGCAGGGGTCCAGGGCATGCCCCTTGAGGGGTGCCCACTAGTTCCATCCTCTCATTTATCTTGCACAAATCTTGGAGCATGAGTCAAGCCTCGGACGCCTTTTGGATGACAAACACCAGGGTGTTCCATGGACTCACAGAAGGGCGGATCTGTCCGGGCTTTAATTGTCCACTAGCTGGTGGAGTGCTAGCAACTTTAGTCAGTGGCCACTGCTCCACCCATGACTTTTCCTGGTGTCCACATGATAGGCGGCACTCGGGCGGCAGTGGTCCTAATGATTGGTGGTATGCCCGGATAGGCCTCTCAGACTCCCTCTGTAGTTGTGGAGGCTGAAAAAAAATCCTGCTCTGTGACCCCCCCCCTTTAGATCCTTTCCCACCCTTTGTGCCTCTTCCTTTTCCAGGAGATCCTCATACAAAGTCCGATGATCTGTGGTCACAACGGCGTCCATTGGGCTCAGCAAGTCCTGTCCTAGCAAAGTGGCAGTAAGGCCTTTGACCACGAAGGGACATATCTTTCTTTGGTCCCACATCTGGGCTGGTCCAGCACAATAAAGTCACCGTTTCTCTTAATTGGGAGTTACCTCTCACCCCCAAAACTCCCAGGTGGAGATACTGTCTGCATCTGGCACCCTCAATGTGGGGCCTGAAGGACAGTCAGTAGGCTTGTGTTGTCGGGGTATGAGACCTGCCAATCCTACCTTTCGAGAGGCTTCCTCCCTTTTTTAATGGGGCTGGAGGCTGCCTAGTTTAAAGGCTTCCCCCCAGGTCAAATTTTGATCTACAATCCTTCTTCCAATGGTATCCCTTCTTGCACCAAGGGCATGGGGTAGAGGGGGGCTTAACTTCTCCTGGCCTGTTAGCTGAGGTGGCAGCGGCTACGGCGGGGTGGGGTGGGGTTGTTGAGGACAGTCTCTTTTAAAATGTCCCTCCTGCCCACATCTAAAGATGTCCCTTTTCCCAACGGCCTCAAGGACCCTTGGCCCTGGGTTGCCAGGGCCTGGGTGATGGCCTCCATCATGGCTGTTGTCTGTGCCAAAAGGGGATTCAGGGCCATCTTCCGCCATGGCCTTTCGGAGCTCTTTAAGATCCTTGGCCTCCCAAGGATACCAGTCTAGAGACCTGCCGGGCTGGGGGCCAAGGGCCAAGTTTACTAGGTAGGGCTTAGGGGTCCCTAGTTGCATCTTTCCGTCCCTCCTTGACTGGGTAGGCCTTCGCATAAACCAGGCCCCCAGGTGCCGCCCTGTCATCCTCTGGTCCATCATAGGAGTCTAGGTCCCGTGGATTTTCCCTGAGGGCAGTATAGGGGGACCCAACCCCATCGCTGGAGGGTAAGGTAGGGGTCTGGAGTTATCTGGGATGAATGTAGGTCCTTCAGGCCCCACATTGAGGCGCCAGATGCAGGGTTTTAGCCCAACCACAGAAGGCTGAGTTGGGTTCAAGGATGGGTAAGTGTGCTACTTATCAGTTCCCCAGACTCCCAGGATCCCAGAGACAATCAGACTCACGCAGTAGGGAATCTAGTCAAGCAGAAACTCATTTATTGCCCCACAACAAGCATCTTTTAAAGCAAAAAACTGCCAGGGGGTGGGGGCGGGGAGTCGGGAACAGCCAGCCAATGGTTTTAAAGGTCAGCCTATCATGCGCCTAGGCGCCCTATGCTTTACCTAGTGAACACGAGCTGTTCATGCAGTGACATCTGGCTCGATCTTGGCGACCAATCGCCCTTTTTATAAACATCCCAGGACTTGCCCTCCTGACTTCCCCACGGTGCCATCTTTAACTGGCTCATGTGCCAGCCGGTAAACCTCAGAGACCTGTCTTCCTTTGCCTCCACAGTATTGGAATTACAACAAGCACGTCACCACACCTGGCATTATTTACCTGTGTTCTGGAAAACAAACCCAGGTCCTCATGCTTGCAAAACAAGCATTTTATCCACTGAGCCATCTCGGCTCTCTTCCTACCCCTTTAGAGCCACCTTTTTTATTTGTGTAATTATAATTTCTATTTTGTTTTTGACTCAGAGACTTGCTTTGTAACCCAAACTAGTCTTCAGTTTGTGACTCTCCTACCCATCTCAAGAGTGCTAGGATTAAAGGCATGCCCTACCAAAGTGTTAACTTTAAGAAAAATGACGCTATTTTTGTGTAGATGTTTGTGTCTGTGTAGGGATATGTGTACGTGAGTGCAGGTGCCAGAAGAGCCCAAGTGTTGAACCCCTTGTAAGTAGATCCCTCCCTCCCTGCTTGCCCCCAGCAGAGTCTCACTATGTAGCTCTGGCTGTTCTGGAATTCACAATGCAGACCAGGCTGACCTTGAACTCAGAGAGATCCACCTGCCTCTGCATGTGCCACAGTGCCTCGCTTCCCTAGAGATAGATTTATAGGCAGTTGTGAAACACTGGGAACCAAATTTAGGTTCTCTGGAAGAGCAACTTTTAACCGGCGTTACCCTTCTAGCCCTAGTGACAAGGTTTCATGGGGATGTGAGAACTGCAGACCCTGAATGACTGAGCGATCCCAGTGCACATCTGTGCAGCAATGGATGGAATGTAGAAGGATAGCGCTCACAGCAGGGGAGAGACAACAGACCTAGAGGAAACCTCCCTTACTTATACTCACCTCCCACCCCCGCCATTTCTTAAAGATGGAACCACCTTTATGTTTGACATCACCCATGTATTGATTAAAAAGAGTGGAAGTTCAGAATTGAAGGAGACCTTGGAGACTCAGAGAAAAGTAACATGACCTTCACTTCAAGCTCAAGGGCACACAGAACATGGGATGGATTTGTGTAACAATGTAACTATGAAACTATGTAAAGTTGTAGGTCTCAGAAAAACTTACAATCTTCCATATTGCAATAAACCAAAAATTCCTTACAACCACATACTCATTTTTTGATAAATGAGTACATTACCACAAGAAAGAATTTCCAATTCCAGAAAAAATATTGAAATTGGGCAAAGCTGCAAAGTCCTGAAGGGAAAATGATTAGAACCATATGATCTGACCATATGTTTCTGCAGGCATTTGTAACCAAAGTAAACATTGAAATTTGTCATGAATGGGTCACTTTGGAGAGGAAGGCAGCAGGAAAATTTTCATGTTTTAGCTGAGTCTTTCACATAAAGTGTTGAATGGTAGATATTACCATAGAGCTTGTGTTTGTTTAAATGGACTGAGTTTTGAAAACTGGGACATAATAGCCAGTAGACATGCATGGAATGTAGCATTGTATTTCAGGGTACATACAGGGCCTGGGGTAAATCACATTGCATCTCTTAATCACTTCTAGCCAACATTAGGAATAGGTATTAGCAGGATAAAAAGGAACATGATGAACATTCTAGAAATTGGTTGGGAAATTGCAAAATGGCAGTAGGCAATGTGAGAAGTCCACACAGAGAGGATGAGGTCATTTGTCTATAATCAGCGGCCATTGTTTTTTCAGAACAGCTGTTAGAATTCCCTCCCTTTCTCTGCAAGCTGTCTCCATGAGTTACTGCTCATCCTCTGCTCAGGTTGAGCCTGCTAACTCGGGAGTAGGTGTGCATGCTTTAGGAGCATTTTCCTTGCGGTCATTATCAAAAACAGATGGATGGGTGCTTGTCTATTCCAACATGATGTAGGTATTTGTACATTTCTTTGTTTTGTATAAACTGAGTTTGAGATTCTGTCTTGGATTTTAATTTGAAATTCTTAGGACAGTGAAACTTTTTTCTGTTTTAAAGATTTACTTTTTGCATGTATAGATATTTTCCTGCATTCTGTGTACCATGTGTATGCCTGGTACCCAGAGGCCAGAAGAAGGTGTTGGATCCCTTGGAACTGGAGTTACACATGGTTGTGAGTTGCCATGGGGATGCTGGGAATCAAACTCAGGTCCTCTAGAAGAGCAACCAGACTTTTTTTTTTTTTTTTTTACAAATGAGACTAATCCCATGAAAGGCATGGTATTGCCATATAAGTATCAAGTCTGAGGCCCAGCCAGGAAAGAGGCTATGTTTCCATCTTCTACTTACAATCCTTCCAGGACCTGACTACTACCCCATCTATGATTTAAGATCCACAACAGGAGAAATGGTTTCTTTCAAAACAATGTAGAAATCACCTTCTAAATCCACAGATAAAATCCTTACTTGGTTAACTGTCAATTTAAATTTCATGTACCAAATCTAAATGCTATCAAAATGAAAGCAAATACATGCATACATGATAATTCACTTACTCAAAAGAACATAAAAATATAATTACTGGGATTTTGACTTGATAATAAACCATGCAGAGTAGTTGAACAGCTTATAAAATTTCAGTTCAGGCTGGACACAGCTCAATGCTAGAACACCTGGTTAGCAGGCCAGGCCCTGGGCTTGATCTCCAGCTACCCATACACACTCTCTCAATTCAAATCACCATAAAAAGTCTAAATGTCCATTCAGCAGATGTAATTTTGGAATGTCAGAGGTAACCATCTTTTATAAACAGTTTTGATCAGATATACAGTTTCAGTCTCTAAAACTTGCACACACTCAAAATTCACAGTAGATTCCTGTTCTTTAAGGGAACATATTTCAGAGATTGTTTTATATATGTGTATATGGATATGAAACATCTGCTTATTTATTAAATTTACATATCAAGTTTTCCATCTTAATCATTACAGAATTAAAATTTTATACCAGAATGTATTACATCTTTGGCATCGCTAGGATCTGTGTATTATTTCTGTGTGTATATGTGTATGTGTACATGAGTGTGTGTACACGTGTACATGTTGTGGTCTGTGCATATGTGTATGAGGTCAGAGGTTGAGGCACATCACTTTCTATGATGACAGTGAAGCTAAAAAATTTGAATTGATTTTGAGGATTTCAAATGGAGTTCTATAACTGCATATAATTTTGTTTTTGATATTTTAATTTTAGAAAATAAAAAATCCTTCAATTTCAATGAAATATACATACTCTTTCCCTCTCCTTTGTAACAAACTAGTTCTAAACCATTTTCTTTTCTTTGAAACAGGCCCAGAGCCTGAGTCTTCCACGTGCTGGGAAAGCAGCTGTGTGCGCTATGCCCAATCTAAGGCAGTTTAAAGAGACGGCAAGCTTTTGGAGATAAACTATGATTTCTAAAAACATCTTCTATAAATTTGAATTAAAATATACAGTATCATATGGCTAAAGTGTGGCTGGATTCAGCTGAGATTAATCTTTGTATATGAGTATGAAGTTACATTAATTAAGTGAACCATAAAATATGAGCAACTGTGTGAAACTGGAAGTGCCCCAGGAAACTAAATTCTAGAGGAAAGTACTTTGTATGGATTACTTAATTAAAACTCTAGAATAAGACTTGCATTTCTGAACATAAAATAGACAAATCTGACACTGAATTAACAATGAAAATAAAGAAAATTAGAAATTAAAACTACAACATTTACCCAATGTATAAATTATTTACACAACGAGGCTTAACAAAATCCTGACACATCACCTACCATCAGGGAGCCCCGCCCACTGCTGCTCATAGGCCCTCATGTCTATGCAGGAGTTTCCCTAGCTCTAATTCACTTGTTCAAGTTGTCAGCTTTGTTCTCTTCCACTGGCATGACTCTGTTTAACTTTGTGTCTGTGCAACTTTCATTTCTGGCTGAATTCAGTTACACTTCCAAAAAGGTCTTCAGAAGAGAAACAATCTGAATTATTACTGGATCTATCAGTTTCAACTGGTTCACTGTTTTCTTCATCAGTATCAACAGGATCAAAGAGTTCAGGCGTGAGACACGGGGAATCCTCTCCTGCTTCTGTTTCTATAGCTGCACTTGAACTGGAATGCTTGGCTTCTTCACTTACTGGAGACGACTCACGACCCGGCTGCAGGTCTTTCTCAGAGCAGAACAGCTGTTTGGAATGGTTCTTAGCAGGAGTAATGTCAACCTTCATCGAAGAAATCGTGGTTTCTGACTGAGGGCAAGGTGCGAATGGTGCGTTTGCTGTTTCATTTGAGGACACGCATTTACCTGTGAGTGTCAAAGCAGTGTTATCTTCTGTTTTTTCTGCCTGGAAGGAGGAAGAGCCAGCGGCAAGGCTCTCTGATGACCGGAGCACGGGTGTAGGGTTCTTTACTTTCCTAGTGAAGTGCTGTCTCAGGGACTTAAAGGCAGGCCAGCTGACTGGCTCTGTTTGCTTCCCAAAAGTTGGGCTTGAGGATCTGGAAATGACATTTTTCTCCGTTCTCATTGTTTGAACAGACTCCTCTCTGAGTGCTGGATCACCTAAGCAAACAAAAACTTAAATTAGTTTTAACTCTGTGCTCAGCCTCAGTTATAACGCTATGTACAAACATCATATAAACACCATGGAGACCACAATGCTGCACAACAAGAGGAAGGGAAAAAGGAAGAAGTGACCAAGAGGAGAGAGGACAGGCGGTTGTCTCGGGAGCCCTGCAGTGTAGAGCACTGGCCCAGCAAGTGCCAGACTCCAGCACTGGAGAGGGGAAGAAAAAGGAGAAAGTTGCCACAAAAATTCACGGATTAGTGACCTAGAGAAAGACAAGCCCTCTTATTTAGAAAGCAAGGACACCGCTGGCTGCAAGGCTACGTGTGCTATTTCTCAGATTGTACAACTGATCAGCACACAAGACCAGAACTGGATCCTGGGGTTCCTGGTTGTCACTGTAACAGCCCTGAAGTTACTCTAACATTTACTTAAAGCGCACAGCACAAAATATTTGAAAACAGGTATATTAAGCTACACTGATCATTAAAATTAAAATTATACCCACTCACCAGAATCTGGCTTTTTTTTTTCTGTTACAGGCCAAATGGCAAATATTTTACGTTTTATGGTCTATATTATGTCTGCTTCAACTATTCAAGTAGGTTATTCTAGGATAAAAATACAATTACTCAACTTTGTTGTTTTTAGATTATGTAAACAAATGAATATGACCTAGTTGCATTAAACTTCAAACATAAAACAAGTCAACAGGATGGCTGGGGTTCAATCCCCTGATAGAGTCCACGATTTCTAACATGTTAAAACATTTTTTATGACAGACTATGGACACCCCCATGGAGGGCCTCACCCTCCCTGGGGGAATGAGGGGATAACGGGGGGGGGAGGGCACGGGAGGAGGGGAGGGAAAGGGAGAGGGACCTGGAACTGACTTGTGAAGCAACCTTGTTTCTTATCTAAATTTAAACTGGAAAATAAAATAAAAAAAGAAAAAACATTTTTTTTATCATTTAGAATAAATGACTCACATCTCAGGTTCAAATAAGGAGTGGTTCTAAATGGGACCTTCCAATTACAGAGCCTTGTTGCAGCCAAGGCTGGCTGGCCTTGAGATTTTTCTTTTTTAATTTAATAATTCTGTATTACTTTTATTCCTACTTCTAAATTTTATACTTATTTATTGTGTATATGGTGATGGGGGACATGCACACCAAGCTTGCCGGAGTAGATTCACTCTTTCCTGATTCTAGGGATCAAACACAGGTCATCACACATGACAAGTTCCTTTACCTGCTGAGCCACCTCACCAGTCCTGGCCTGGAATTCCTGATACTCTTGTGTCTGCTTTCAGCATTTTGGGATTATGGGGTTACAGGTATGTGAAACAATACCCAGTTTATCTCAATTTTTATAAAGCTTTAAAATAATGTCTACCATTTCTTTTCTTTCTTTTTTTATTTTTGGTTTTTCGAGACAGGGTTTCTCTGTATTGTTTTGGAGGCTGTCCTGGAACTCGCTATGTAGACCAGGCTTGGTCTCAAACTCACAGAGATCTGCTTGCCTCTGCCTCCCGAGTGCTGGGATTAAAGGCGTGCGCCACCAACGCCCGGCTTACCATTTCTATAGTATTTTATAATGCCATATTTATTATCTTATTTGAGTTTTACAATTCAACTTGGTGGGATAGGTAGGCAGGTTACCTACTGTTTCTATTATAACTTAAAAAGGCCAAGTAGTTTATTCACAATGACAATGTGAGGTAAGTGGCAAAGCTAATGGAAAAACCAGGAAATACACTTTGGTATTCTAACAAAAGTTTATCCCCATTTAAACATACTGTATTATCTTATGAACACTTCATGCTATAAACCAACACATTTCAGGAAATTAACCTGTACCTAATCATTATCATTTCCCTATTATACAATGAAACTGTAAATGGACAGAATTCAACCTACCTTTCTTCCTTCTGGAGATGTTGTGACTCGGCACTGAGGGGTTTTTAGTAGTCATTTGGGGACACTGCAGCTCCTGGACACACAGTTTTGCTGCTTCTTCCCTAGTATTTTCTGTTGATAGATGACTTGCTTTTGACACACCTGTATGAGTGCTGTCCTCCAAACAGGCCACTTCCAGAGTAGACTCCTTGTCTTTTTTTGATCTGTTAGTAACTTTTTGGTGTCTTTTAGAAAACTCGGTCAGGGACTCCAGGGCACTTGCAAAGGTTGAGTGGTGCTGAATCTGCTGCCTCACCCATTTAGAAAGTCCTAAATACAGTGGATCCCGGTGAGAAACTGGTTACTTAGTTACCAAAATATTTACGCATTAGGATTAACTTTACTATTTCTAGTGAAGCAATCTAGTTTGCATTTGAACATATGGAATAGTTTTCAATCTTTTACTATATATATGTATACATATAATATATTTACATGTATAGGGACTATGAAGGGATTATGGCCTGAAAAATGCATCACTAGTTTCAAAATACTGAAAGATGACTATGCAGGCAATGTACCAAACCCACCCACTCTGAGCTTGGCCACAAAGGGAGGTGCAGAGCACCAGCCGCTGTCTGCTGTAGCGATCATGGGACACACTGGGAGCTGCAGCTCATTGCTGGTGCCAACATCTCAGACATGCTGGTCATCAGCTAGGCAAAGAGCAAACTGCTCTGAAGTGCAGTTTCTGATGAGTGTGTGTTGCCTTCACAGCACTCTAATATTGAATCACTGTAAGTTGAAAGTGTCTATAAATTTAGTTTTATCAAAATTCCTCAAAATTGGGCCAGTAGCATGAGTCCGTGGGTATAAGTGCCATGCAAGCCTGATGTCCCGTTCAACTCCTGGAACCCATGTAAAGGTAGTAGGAGAAAATGATTCTACCAAGCCGTCCTCTGACCACATGTACCACGGCACCCTCACTCACACTACATCGTACACGCTCCTGTAAATAACACAACTTTCCACGCCATCAATCTAAGTTTATCTCCTTTTCCAAAAATAAACTCAAGAGTCCAGTCTGAAAAGTTTGTTGTTGTTGTCCTATCCTCCGCTCGTTCCTTAAACTACTCTGGGACTGGAAGAAGCAACACTTTCCCAGGGAAAATATTGTCTATCCGAATTATTAGTCATTTACACAATAATGAACACAAGAGATAGGACTCGATCAGGGGCATGTTAAAATGGTATATGAAACTGGATAAAATTAACCATATTAAGAACTTATGGTGTTTTGTAATATGGTTAGTTTTATACCAAAATAAAAAAAACATTTGGAACTAAAAAATACCTGGATTATCATAAAACAAATATTCCCTGGATAATGCTGCAAAAAAACTGGCACTGTCTTTTGGAAAAATTAGGCTTTTAAAAATCGTCGTGTGTGTACTCAAGCAAATGCAGCACACACATGTGAGTGTGGCTTGTGAGCCCGTGAAGGTCGGAGGTCAATGCTAGGTGTCTTCCTGTATTATTCTCCACCTTATTTTTTCGAGACAAGGTCTCTCCTCGCTCAACTGAGAGCTCACAATTTTGGCTCCGATGGTTGGATAAGCAAGATCCCAAGATCTGTTTACCTCCTTCCCTGCATTTCTGGTATTACAATGTATGCAGCTGAAGCTGGCTTTTACATACATGTTGAGAACCTGCACTCAAGTCCTCATGCTTGAGCAATCAGCATTTTTATCCACTCAGAATCTCCTCAGCTCTGTAACACATAGCTTAAAAAGTCACCATGGCATTATATGCTTTTAAAAGAAGATAAAACAGGGTTTTATGTAACCCAAATTACTAAACTGTAACCTCAAGTACATTTCTTTAGTTTTCTTAAAATGGAATTTTCTGAGTTATCAATTGAATTTAAACAAAAAATTGTCATTAAATTTATGCATCATGTTAGTATTACCAAAGTAAAGAATTTATTACCAAATTTATGAATGTCTGAAAATTAAAATAATCCATAAATTTGGCAATATTTGATTCTAAAACATTAATAAATCTGAGCTATGAAATAAAAATTGTTTTTAGCTTTTTAAGAGAAGTACTAATGTTAACTTTATTTTGAAAAAAATGACTGTACCAAATGAAAATGTGAAATTCTCTAAAATTGAAAAATTTTAGTACTATCATTTCTCCATTTTGACCTTTTTATAAAGAAAGTCTTTTTAGGACAAGATGTCATTGCTGGCCTTTGAACACTTGGCAGGGCCTGAGCTCCACCTGCTGACTGAACACTAGTACTTAGTATTTTTGCTTTTAGTTACTGCTTTGTTTAGACAAAAAGAAAAAAAAAAAAAAAAGGAAGAAACCCTAAGAACAATATATTGTTTTAAACCTTGACAGCAAGCACGTTTCTGGCACTGACTGAATGGCCTGTCCCTGTTGAATGAAAACCATAGGCCCGTAATGCCTGTTAAATGACCACCTACTTATCTTTCTGCCCACTGGCACTTTATTTCCTTTTAGAAAGCACTTGCTTTGACTAACATGTGTAGCCACTTCTTGCCTTTAAACCTGTAACAGTGGCCACGCCCTTTGGGCATGGTTACAGGTGAGGCCATGACCCATTTTGGTAGAGGAGCAGGGGACAGAGACCCGTTGGGTCTCGGAGGGCATTGGGGAGGCAGGATCTGCATCCTTGGAGCAGTAACTCTGCGACAGTTACTTATTGTTATCTGTGTAAGTTCATCCCCAATAAACACCTATTTATCATTCATCTTGGTTTGGTGAACTCATTATAACTCCACACCTTCAAACATGAACTTTATTGTGTGTGTATGTATATTGTATATGTATGTGCACACCTGCACGTGTGTCTATGTATGGATGCTGGAGATTGAAGTTAGGAATCTTCCTCAATTATTCTCTACTTTTTATGGAGACAGGCTCTCTCCCTGCACTATAAGCTACCTGGACTGCAAGCTCCAGCAAGCTCAGCAATCTGTCTGCCTCCCTTTCCTACAGCACACGAGTTATAGAAGTGCTCCCCTGAGCCTGGCTTTTATGTGGGTGTTGGAGATTTGAACTCTGGTCCTAATGTTTGCATGACAGGTATTTACCAACGGAACCATCTCCCTAGCCCTTTAAATAAAACTCAGAAGAATGAAAATATAGTTAAAGAAACAAGTAAATAAGTACAATAGTAAACTTGAGAAATTAATCAGTAAAGTAGCCAAAACAGATGTAATTACAAGTGAAACCAGTTTTTTTGAAAAAATAATTTTTGAGAAAGAACCTTTTGACAATGGCAAACAAAATATTGCTACATTAAATTATGAACCATATTCTACAAAACTGAAAAGTAATAATTGATTTAATAGTTGATGACTAAAAAATTTCTCACTCATGAAGAATTTTTATAAACACATGAGAATTCGAAGACTAGCTTAGCTTTCCAGTTAGTGGGAATTGTTCATGTTTGATCTGGTGATTCAAATTCACATTCTAATTCTTCACTTTTAAAAATGAAGCTGTAAAGGTCTGGAGTGATGGCTTAGCCAATACAGTGCTTCTTGACAAATATGGAGGCTTGGGTTTGGTCCTCAGAACTCACATAAAAAAGCTGGGAGTGGTGGTACACACGTGTAATCTCTGTGCTGAGGAAGCAGAACAGGCAGATCCCTGGGACTTGTGGCCCCCAGCATAGCCTACCCAGTAAGCTCCACAGAAAACAAGCTGATGGCTCTTGAGGAACCACACCCAAGATTGACATCCATGCATAGGCACACATGCGCACTTGTAATACACACACACACACACACACACACACACACACACACACACACACACAGGAGCCATAAAATATAAAAAGTTTATGATGGCAGAACAGGAAAACCCAGATCCCATGTTTCTCCTATGGAAGCATGGATCCAATAATTCATGGGCCAAACCCCTTTATGAGAAACCCAGAGACAAGTTAAAAAGTTTTGGAACCCAGGCTAGAGCAAAACCAATTGTATCAAAGCAGGCAGGAAAATGTGTGGAACCTTCTCACCAGAGTTCTTGTTACAGAACAGTGCCACTAGGCGAGAATTATCTGGAAAGAAGAGTGGAGAGTAGGCACAAAGTCCTAAAACACTTCTGTTCTCTCTGTCTTGAAGTGCTGACAGCAGGCCGCTGCTGCAAAATTACACTACAGGACACCGAGGCTGCTCCAGCTCAGCGGCACTTCAGCAAAGAGAAGACTAGTGTGTAATGTATGTCAGCTTTTCAGTGAACTGCCTAGGACGGGCTTGTCTTAGTCATTAGGGAACACTCAGTGAACTGCCTAGGACAGGACTGTCTTACATCATTAGGGAGCACTCAGTAAACTGCCTAGGACAGGACTGTCTTAGTCTTTAGGGAAGACTCAGTGAATTGTCTAGGATGCATCTGTCTTAGTCATTAGGGAGCACTCACATCATATGGCATATTCTCTATGCCTAGAGGCTGCTGAGAATCAGAGAGTGGATGGGGAGCACGCTGTTGCTTAAGATGCCTCATAACACAAGAGACAGACAAGGGATATCTAGGGAGAAAAAGGGACAGAGAAAGAAACTGCAAAGCTCTCTAATTAGGTATCCACATAGGGAATGCAGAGAAACTAGATCCATACTAGATCAGAGGGGCTACCAGCTGCCTAGCAGGGCTGATGAGTGAGGGTATTTCTGTGTGAATTTGCTGTGGTAAGAACTCTTAGAGGTGTCTTTTATCAAATGTGTGTAGAGACCAATTACAATATTACAAAGAAACATGGGACATAGCCCCATCATAGGAACAAGCTAACTTCAAAAAGGATGAGAGCAGGAGAGAGGAGAGGGGAACAAGAGAAAGAGAATGAGAATTAATCATGCATTTCTTTAATTAGAGCACTCTGGATGCAGAGGTGGGTGAGTAGATCTCTGTGAATTTGAGGCCAGCCTGGTCTACATAGGGAGTTCTAGGTCAGTCAGAGCTATAGAGTTAAGACAGTGTCTCAAAACAACAAAAACAAAACAAAAAGTTTAGAGATGCAAAATGGCTTCATGCTTGTGATCTCAGTATTTGGAAAGCCAATGCAGAGAACACTCTATCTTAAAAAAGCAATAAATTAAAATAAAACAAAAGATAGATCATAGTCAATTTGTCTAAGCACAATGCAAAAGAAAATTTCAGAGCAGCAAGAGAAAAGCAATCCATCATATGCATGTAAACTTACAAAGGCTGTCAATGGATTTCTCAGGAGCACTCTTACAGGCTTCAAGGGAATGAGATGATATATTCAGAGTGTTAAAAAGAAAAGCCCCAAACTACTAACTAGGAATGCTATATCTGGCAAAACTGTCCATCAAGATGCAGGCGAGATAGACTTTCTCAGACTACAAAAGCTAAGGGAGTTCATTACCACTAGATCTGCTTTATAAGAAGTGGTAAAAGGAACACAGTAGCATGTGAATGTGCAGCTTGTCCACAGAGGTAATTGTACAATTACCAAATATTTAAGTACAGTAATGACACCTCTCCCTTTTTCCAGTGCTGAGAATTGAACCCAGGACCTATGCAAGCAGGGAAGTACTGGACCACTGAGCTATATCCAAGCACCACAAGCTATATCCAAGCATCACTTTAAATTTTGACACAGAATCAAGATAAATGTATACAAAATAATAATTTGTATAAAACATGTAGGTAGATACATAATTTTAAAAGGGTAATTTGTGACTTTAACATAAATGTTGGTGACAGAAAAGCAAATGTTTGGATTGGGGGGATGGCTCAATGGGTAAAGCACTTGGCATGCAACAGTGAGGAATGGAGTTTGAAATCCCAGAACTCATGTAAAAGTCAGATGAGTAATCCCAGTCAGTGCTCTATAGGGATAATGGAGGCAGAGATAGGAGAATCCCTTGAAGCCTTTGGTCCATAACCTAGCACACACAGTGGGGTAACAACAGAGACCTTGTTTCACACAAGGTAGAAGGTGAGGACAGATATCCAAGGGTGCACTCTATACACGTGCACCATGTCATGTGTGTGCCCACATTCACACATGAATACATCACCCACACACATTACACACACAAGCAAATGTTTAGCAAAGTGGAGAGCGCTGTGTGGCAATTTCCTCAGAGATAAAACCTTCGGTCTTGAAGGAAAGCTCATTAAGATACGGAAAAGTAGTGGTTCTCAACCTGTAGTCGTGACCCCTTTGTGGGAGTCGAACACCCCTTTCAGAGGGTTACCTAAGATCACTGGAAAACACAGATATTTACATTATGATTCATACCAGTAAGCAAAATTACAGTTATGAAGTAGCAACAAAAATAATTTTATGGTTGGAGGTCACCATAATATGAGAAACTGTATTAAACATTAGGAAGGTTGAGTGTTGAGGGATAATCACACTGTGTGAAGATGTGTTTATCCTTCCTCACCTAACTAAGGTACCTCCTGATTGGTTTAGTAAAGAGCTGAATGGACAATAACTAATCAGGAGGGGTTAGGTGGGATTTCTGGGCTCTGAGAGGCGGGAGATTTGCCAGCAAAGGCCGAGGAAGTCAGATGTACTATACCGAGGAGAGGTAATGTGCCACATAGCAGCATATAGATTAATATAAATGAGTTAATTTAAGTTTTAAGAGCTAGGAACAAGCCTAAGCTAAGGCCAAACTTTGTCATTATTTGGGAGCTAGTGGTCCAAAGAAAGTCCAACTAAAGGGAGGTAAAACATTTCATCCACTCCAGAAGCAAACAACTCAAAGGCTTCTGGGAGTTCCTGAAACTGACCAGATACACCAGCCTCCTCCTTCCTTAAGTATATATAAGTGATAAGGACTGCTGCAAAGTACTCAGACCAGCCAAGCTGCCTGGAAGAAGCGGAGCCCAGCTGTGATGCTTGAAGAGGCAGAGTCCAGCCAATGTGCTTAGGAGAGGTTCAGAGCACCTGAAGCACCTGGAAAAGACATTCTCCAGCCTGTTGACCTGCCTGCAGGCTGTACAGTGTACTTCAGGTGTTCAGCTTTTGTGTAGAAATCATAGAAGAAAAAATAAGGAGAAATCTTCAAAATATTGATCTTCATAAATATCTGCTGGCCTAGAACTTACATATGACCCAGTGACTTCATTCTTAAATACAATAAAGTGTCCAACCACCCATGCTCACTGCAGTCCCCAACAAATAGAGTAGAAACAATTTAATACCCACTTAGAGATGGACAGAGAAATACACCCTGCCATAGATATAAGCAAGTTCTGTTGGGTACTTCAACATGGATGAACCTTGAGGATAGTATTCTAAGTGAAACACGACAGTCCCAGAAGGACAGATACTGCATGACTCAACTCTACATGCATCATCGAAGTCACTGAACTCAAAGGAGAAATGGTGGGTACCAATGTATGGGGGAGAGCAAAAAGATGGTCAATCAGTATAAGGTTTCAGCTTTAAGATTACAAATTCTGCCGGGCAGTGGTGGCAAAAGCAGATGGATCTCAGTGAGTTTGAGGCCAGCCTGGTCTATAAAGTGAATTCCAGGACAGCCGGGATTGTTACACAACAAAACCTTGTCTTAAAAAACAAAACAAACAAACAAAAAGATTCCAAGTTCTACAGACCTAATACACAATATTCTTTATAGTTAGCACTATAGTACACACAATTTATCACAAATAGGCAGATCATATGTGGCTTTTTTTTTTAGCCACTAAGAAAGAACAAAGTCTGTTAGTAATTCTTACGCTGAACTGAGACTCTTACCTGATATATAGCGGTTTGGGTTGCTGTTGAAACGATCGTCCACCAGAATAAGAGCTCCCCAATCATTTTTGTGGCGAATACACCTACAAAACAGGGGAAAATAAAATGTGTATAAAACACTGAAAATAAAGCCAGATTTCCAGAGGAATAGTTAAGAAAATGGTGTATTAGCTATGTATTACTGTAATCTATTCAGTCTGTTAAGTCATTTAGTTCCTCAACTGATTTTCAGTATTAAAAATGTGATGACATCTCTGCCTGTCATTGTTTCTCTTCTCACTCTGGAGTTTGACATTTTTTTACTCCTTCATTGAGATGGGATTTTGAGGGAATGAAGATAATACATGTTCAACTTTTACAGTTTAAAATTTTTAATTTCATATGACACTCTTCCTGGACATTATTTTAAAGTAAGCTATGGTTCCCGGACAACAGATCATATAACATAAAGCAACACAGGAAGAAGTTATATACTGTCATTATTCTAGAAGGGTGTTGAAAATCAACAGGAAGTCAGGGAAATCTATTTTAGGTTCACTTTATGTTTAAAGTGGATTTTGGTAGAGAGTATTTAAATTAATAAATCGTTAAAGAGAAAAAGGGTTCATCTTTTCCATTGTTTTTGCTGCCTTGCTCGGATGAATCATGCTCGCTTGAGAAATGATACTGTATTTCAAGTGAAGCAGACAGTGAGAAACTCTTGTGACTTAGCTGTAAAACCATCTGGTGTATTTCTGAAGGCTGTTATTATATTCCACAGACTTTACCACTCCAGATGACTATAATGCCTAGGTAGCGTTTAGAAGAGATGACAGTGAGGAGTTGGGGAGGTAACTCAGGTGGTAAAGTGCTTATGGGGCAAGCACGAGGACCTGAGTTCAGATGCCCAGAACCTAATTAAAGGTGGCAGCACACTCCTGAAACCCCAGTACTGAGGGGCAGGGCCAGGAAGATCCCGGAGTTCCCTGGCTGGTCTGCCTAGCTAACTGAAGCTCCACATTCAGTGAGAGAACCCTTCAAAAGACACAGCGGGAGTGACAGAGGAAGACAGCTGCTGCTGACCTCCACATGGCGCTGACCCTCACCCTCCCTTATGTGTATGACATGCACACAAGACACTAAAACAATTGATGGGTTTCTGTTTACTCCAGTTTCTGCATGCGTCTCTCAGAACAGTGCTGCAAAGTATAAACACCTTATCTCAATTAGCACTCATGATACAAAACATTCATTTAATTGTTATTTTCCCATTAAAACATAATTATTAAAAAACATGTTCTTTGTGACAAATTGTCATTCAATGATAGTGTCACTGAAAATCAGTAAGTGACAATACAACCAATAAAATTCCAAAGGTACAGTATTGTGCACTGATATTTCAAATGCATGACTTTTGTGGTACTTTGGAAAAACACAATTTGAATCTCTAGAAGTTGGCTGGCAATGAAGAACATGGCAAAGCAGCAAACTTTACGTTTTTCTCCATTTTTAACCAATTCTGAAGCATCCATGTCAAGCTGAGACACAGGAGGTTGGTGAGAATGCAAGTGTACATGTGCCAGGAAGGGACACATGTATATAACAAGATGATAAAATATGTGCTATAATAGAGATCATGCACGTAATCTGGGTTTACTAGGGTATAAACAGGTCTAGGTGAAGAAACAGAAGGGATCCACATGGGACATGACTTCAACCAGGTTGTAACTGCTACTATGCCATATGAATAGCATGGAAGCTTTTTATTACCAAGGCAGAAAGGGCATGCCAGAGTATGGTAGCTCCATGGTGAAAACATTAGTGGATAGAGGTAGACGAAAAAGCAAACCTGTGCTTCTAAAAGTGTGGGTGAGGGTTACAATGTGAAGGGACATTTAATAACTATCTGACCTCACCCAGGTAATTTAGTTTCAGATTAACCAGTTTGGAAATAAATAAGAAAATTAAATTATGAGGCTCCAACGTGCATTGCTATTAGGCATTTTTCAACTGAAGAAACATGGTAATATGTAGAGTTTACAAATCATAAAGAATACAAGCAGAATTTGTACTTCACAAATTTTCTTGAAGCTCAAGGTGTTTATATTAATATAAAAAAATCAACGGAGGTAATATCACTTAATTTTATAAAAATAAGTATAACAATTAAAAGCCAAGAATTTATAAAATATATATTCAAGCTTTCCTAGAACTACTAGCTGATTATACTTCAAACAGGAACAGGCTGTCATCAGGAAGAAAAATGAAATGCCCAAGGAGAACGTGCAGTTGGGTGTCAAGGAAAATGGAACATCGGACAGGAAAGGCGGCAAGACAACAGCAGCTTACAATGTAATCCATTTGAAGACAACAACAAAAACGTTTAAGTTAGATTTTTTCAATTATTTTTTGAGATGATAATTTAAAAAGTTATCCCAGGAGCTGGGAATAACGATGGCTCAGTTGGTAAAGTGTTTGCCACAGTTCTCAATTCCCACTTCTGACACATGTGAGAAGCATACTTTCCTAGAGTTCAAGCTAAGTAAAATTTTAACACATTGATTTCCTTTTCTCCCCAAATAGGATTTCTCTGTGTAGCTCTGGCTGGAACTTACTCGTAGAGCAGACTGGCCTTGAACTTGCAGAGATCCAACTGCTTCTTTCCTCCTAATGTTGGGATTAAAAGTATGCACCACTACTGTCTGGCTTTCCTTGTTGACTTTTAAAAGTAGCAAACATTACTTTTTTTCTTGGGCACAGGCAAAACTACACACAGTAACACTGTAACCGATTTTACTTTACTCACCTGCCTAGAGCCTGATTTAAGGCTCTGTATGCTTGAATTTCATACCATTGACGGCCAGGCAAAAGGCCTCTCAATTTTGAGTGGTGGTCATTGTATTGTCGTTTTAATTCAACCTAACAATTTAAACATTAAAACATGTAGTGGATAAGTAAAGCTTATTTAAACATCATATGAATATCTAACATTTTAAATTTTATTTAGAGTAGTTTGTTTTTCAGTTCTGAGTTTCTTCAGTTTATTCAAGTCTCATTCATTCTTACATTTCCACAATTCTCTTATGTATAGCATTATTTGTGTGACAACATTTCCATAAAATAAAATTCACATGTTCTCCGTGTATAATGTAAGTTTTAGCAAATGTACAGTCTAAAACCATCAGGTAATTATAATATAGATCATTTCCAACACTGATATCTTTTCAGTTGATTGCCTTCTTAAACTTGTAGACCAGGCTGGCCTTGAACTCACAGAGATCTGCCTGCCTCTGCCTCCTGAGTGCTGGGATTAAAGGTGTAGTGTTGGATATCTAAAAGCAGTGTTTCACCATAACATTCGCTTTTCTAGTTCTTTAAGCAGGTGGGCATACCTGGTATGTTATTCCCTTGAGACTGAATTTTATATTAAAAATATAAAGAAGTATTTGCCTATTCCTAGGGATAATTGTTTAACATGCCTCCATTGTGAAACCCTGACAGTGTCCTGCTCACCCTGATTACTGTGTAACCATGTAAACTGCGCAGTGCTGCTAACTTTGCCATCTGAATCTTTCACCACAGATGAAGACACTCTGGTTAGAAGAGTTATTCTTTCTTGGATAGGAATTCAGACTCCAGTTTGTATATCATTAGGGGCCTGAAGGGCAGACTTCTGCAGTGTTGGAAGCTTAGCGTTACCAGAGTCCAGAGCTTCTATTCCACTGCACAACATCGCCAACAATACAGTAATTTCTTTAAGTTACATTGTTAGGAAAGTTTATTGAATGGGATAAAATAACTCCAAGATTAACTGTAAAAAAAATCTACGCAATAATGACTGATGTGTTCAGTTAGATCTTTACACAAACACTCATTTAAACACTGTGGTGCTGATATATCAACACAGGACCTGATAATAAAACACTGGAATACAGAACAGAATCTGGAAACAAATCACTGTTTATTTGGCAGAATGAAAAGGGGATTTTAAATCCATGGAAAAAGGACAAACTATCAAATACTGTCAGGGACAACTTTTGGAAAAGCAAGGAAAATACATAATAAAGTTATATCTCTTTATATTATTTATACAGACACATCTAAGACACTTTGAAAAAAACCTATAAATAAACACAAGAAAACACAATAAACTATAATTCCAATGTGGGAAAAGCCACCCCAACCCAAGCTGGCCTACAAAACAAAGGCCATAGGGGGAAGTCTTAACCAGCTGAGAAATCTTGCCAGCTCCTGGTTAAACATCTGGTAGTGAGTGTTCAGGGTGACACACCCACGGCTTACCAGACAGCACCTAACTCAGGCTAAGAACGGCCAAAGAACGCTTAGGGGTGTTATAATTGCCAGACTGGTGATAGCTAAAATTACTGATTTAACCCCCTGTCAGCCATCTGAGACGTCAAAAATGCCATTTACCATGTTAACAATAAAGGCAATTCAAAGTAATGCCCATTCTAAATCAACCCCAACACAGGATTAAACCAAACTCTGACAAGGCACAAAGGACAGTTTAAAGATGAGTATTTTTCTGAGATCTCCCTATCAAATCATCAAATCATGCCCACACAAGTTCAGGATGATCAGGTATTAACTGAATTGCCTATAAAAACAAAAATAAAAAAAAATAAAAAAAAACAAAAAAAAAACAAAAATCAATATTCCATGAGGACAAGACTTAAAATTTCTATAATGTACCATCCATAATGTCTATTATACAATTAAAAATTACTAACAAAACATGACACGCATTAGGGAAGGGGAAAAACAGGCAGTCAACAACAGTTGGGACTCATGAGAGGAGTCTTGAGAATGACAGACAAGGACTTTAAAGCAGATATTGAAAACCTAGTTAAGTAGCATAAAAACCCAGTTGAGGGGGATGGTGGCTCAGTGGTTATAAGCACTTACTGTTCTTCCAGAGAACCTGGGTTCAGTTTCTAGCACCCATATCAAATGGCTCACAACCTCTTGTAAGTTCAATTTCAGGGGATCTGACTCCCTTGGACCTCCATCAGTACCTGCATACAACTGGTTCAAAAAACCCACACAGGCACACAGGTGCACGCATGAAAAGAAATCTTTTTTAAAAATGAGAGTTTAATGAATAAACTCTAGATAATCTTGGCAAAATGAAAACTTTTATTTTACTTTACAATGTATGTGTGTGTGCATGTATGGTATATGTGTTGCAAACATGTGTATATGGGTTTGCACACCCATACATACACATGCACAGACCACCACAAGACTTTTTTTGTTTTGTTTTATTTTTTGTTTTTTACGAGACAGGGTTTCTCTGTATTGTTTTGGAGGCTGTTGGTCCAGCCCAGCCTCAAACTCAGAGATCCGCCTGCCTCTGCCTCCCGAGTGCTGGGATTAAATGCGTGCGCCACCACCGCCCGGCCATGAACTGCTTTTTTTTGTTTTTTACACAACAAATACGTTCTTCTTTAAAACAATTCAAGTCTAAAATATTCTAGGGGAAAGTTGTCCCTCTATACTGATATTTCCTAAGTGGAATCAATCAACCACTGATGGAAAATATCTAGAACAAACAAAAGCACCCTGGGTTACCCAGAACATGTGTAACTTTTGTCATTATCCCCCAAGTCCTTCAGTAAGACAACATACAGCATTTACATTGCACTAGGTATTGTGAATAATTTAGAGATGATTTAAAGTGCAGAGGAGAACAGGCAGAGATTAGACGCAACACTACACTATTAAGGAACTTGAGCATCTGAGCATATCCTTTCTCCATGTTTTCTGGAATCAATCTGCCACAGATGCTGACAGGTGAATGACTGTATTACAATTTCAGAATGTTTACACTAATTGAGTGGGGGGAAAAGGAGCTAGTCTGAAGTAGCTCTTAAGGATGCTGCAGAAATGTAATAAAAAAAAAGCCATTTAAAGTATGAAAATTGAAACAGTGCAGGAGAATTGTGGAAGCTGAAATACTGAATTCAATTGAACATATGCAATTTGGGCTGGGTGTAAGTCATCATGCTAGGTAATAGGAATGCAAAGGTGAGGTAGAAATATTCTTCTGCCTGACAAGAACTTAAATAAACAGAAAAGACTATAAGCATAAATGGCTATCAAACAAAGATGTTAAGATGTTAATGTATGGAAGTGAAGAGAGCTGAGAAATGAAGATAGTTCATGAATGCTGTATAAAAATAGTGAGGGCCTGGCTTGGAGAAGTAAAGGAAAAGAAAAAAGGTCCAGTTTGTAACACAGTGTCAACCTACAGGATTGGAGTCACCAACCAGAAGTGAAGGAGAATGACAAAATGCTCTCTAACATTCCAGCTAGAGAAAAGTCCAGCAGGCACCCAGAGAAGATAAGTATGTTTAAGGAATAAGATAAATTTGACTTAGCTCAAGACAAACTTCTAAACAAAAAGTAAAAGTCGATGGTAAGCCAGGAAAGTAATGCACACCTGAAATCCAAGCATGGGGATTGCAGCAGTAGGGTAACTAGGAGCAGGATAACCTAGGAGTTTAAGGACAGCCTGGCAGCATAACAATAGCCTGTCTCAAACAAACAAAAATGTAAGGAGGGAAATGATTGAAATAAAAATTGACATTAAGAAACAGCTAAACACTCAAAAATTGGAAACTCTGGGAGTCAAAGGTTCTTAGTATAAAATAACAGCATTCGGTGAGTTTCTACATAGACTCATGCACAGTGCAATGACTGAGTGACTAACAGATGATAACACACAACTCACCTCATAGTTTTACAGGGAAGATAGTGCTTCATGCTAAAGATAAGGAAACTAGGCATGAAGACTACAGAAGAGTTGGATTCGGATCGAGTTCAGAGCTAGCTCTCTTAAAGAGCAAAAGCCACAGAGCTGACCACTTGCATAACTTTTCTGAACGACCTTGTGCCTTACTTTTCCTATTTAAAAACAGGAGTAAAGAAAACTAAGTTAAATGGAAAGTGTTCTAGAATTCCATTGAATGTATAATGATCTTGATCAAGCATGAAAACCAATGCCCAATTTAAAATGACACACAGCATATGTGAAAAAGCCAGTTTCTCCTGCCAGCAAATAGCCTAAATGCTAAGTAAAGCAAAGGGATTAGCTGAAATGTCAAAAGACAACCTTTTGCTTTTACCTGCTCATCCTTACAAGCATTCTCATTCCCCAGGCATGCTTTCCAAACAGACAGTTTCAATCTGAAGCAGCACAAGGCCCAAGGCAAGCTCTGCCATCCAGTAACTGTCAAAGAGATTACTCTTTCATCTACTTGGGAGGCCATGCCCACACTCACATCAGCTACACAGCCAAATAATATTATACCTGTTGACCAATGCCTAATGAGACAGACACTGTGCATTATGGATGTTAACTGTGAATGCTTTTTCTAAGTTTTGACAGCAAGTAAACACCATAAACTGAGCTCAAGTGTGGTTTGGAAAGATGACCGTTTAGATCATCCGCCATAACTTTTCAAATACATTTTACAAGCCTTGCCCCAAATAGAAAACTATAATCAGCTACGCTATTTGGAAGGAGTGTAAATCACACCCTCCCTGTCCATAATAAATTATGTATGTGTAATTTTGGAAAAGTGTGTAAACAGAAGTGAGAGGGCCAGTTACTTCATGAAAGGATGCAAACTGAAAGCCCATGGACAGACACACTTAGCATGTCTCTTACTCATGGCTTAGAATAGTAAGAACTATTTGCCAACATCTAAATATTTGGCTTGTTCACTGTTTTCTTCAGCTTGCTCAGTCATTTAAATAACCTGCTTATTATAGTTAAGAAAATGTGCAACACACCAGGGTTGGATGCTGCATGGATTTATTAAAACATTATTATTATTTTACTGTTAACAGATTTTAAAGTTGTTCAGAATGAAAAGTATCCTTATTTTGGTAGT